GACAACACTGGATCACGTGCCAGCGCTGTCAGCACTACTCTAGCGACCGCCGTCGCAGCACGCGCTGAACGGACGGACGGACGGACGGACGGACGTCGGACTCTGAAAGCAGCCAATGAGTCCAGTAGAATCCGAAGATGTGGAGGCCAGCATACTTAAGTTTCTAGCAAGAGCTAATCGACTAATTCTGTCACAGGTGAGGTGATTCCGAGTAGCCCACTACGAGCCTCCCATTCTCCTAAACTATATCGTTACCGTGTATATGGATCAGCCATTATCAACGATGGGTAACTCCCTGATTGTGGAAGTTAAAGTCAGTTGGGAAGCCAGATGTACAAGACGGTTTGGGAACCACCTATGGACAACTGTGGCTAATGGATTCTTAGAGCTCAGCGAACAACACCTCTAGCCCTTAAAATACAATTCACAAAATTTTGTTGGAAACTGAGGGAATATGGGCTCTATATTCTGAGCAAATAGAATCCGCCGAGCCACATTGGTTGCATTGATCGTGAATGTGTAGATATTATCGGCCCTTGAGCAGTGCGTTAAACTAGATGGACCGTTTTTATAACAGTCATACACTCAAATGGGAATCCTGAGTGTATCGCTCAGTTTGTTGTGACATAGTGCTTCCAATATAGAGATAAGAGCTTCACGCGAAGGAGGGATTGCTGTCTTCGAAGAGACCACGACTGGTAGAAGATGGCGAAGTGGGCGGTGATACTCGCACATGATCGACACTATAAACGCTTTTTACATCCTAGTTTTACAATTCAGTCCTGCTCATCAGTCGATATGCACCAATTGCAGGCACTCAGGATTATAAATAACTCGACGGTGATTTGTATACAAACTCTTTAAAAGTATGAACAAGATCTACTTGAAGGTGAGCAAATTTCGGCTACCTTTATAGCCACAAAAGAAGTTTCAAAAGTTTTTCGTAAAATCGTCGTAAGTTATGACACAAGTAGGAACGGTTCAAAGTGAAAATAAGAAATGCTGATAGCGAGTGATCAAAAGTGATATCGAGTGGTAAAAAAAGGGGGCACATTCACGTGCGTACCAGAACATAAAAAAGCGTGGTCTCGCAAAGGTACGGTAATGTAATGGGATAATCAAGAGTTACATGTTATAGGCCGCTGGAAAGATAGGGATAGTGGAGGAGACCAAGTTGGAACCAGCATTTGAGCAAGGAATAAAAAAAGTCGAAACATATAGACTGGCAGTTGATTGTGTATTGGATGGACTCGAAGCAATAATGCAGGTACGAAGCCAGAATAATCTATCGGCATTTACAAAGAGGCCATTCAGCTTGGGATTACTGGGGAACTATTCTTCAGCCGAATCATAAAATTGTGGAAACAGGAGCGATTGTCGCTCCACCTGGACAAAATCCTCACGAACTAATGGCTACTGCATGCACAAAAATGAAGCGATTCCTAGGCAACAACGAGCAGGTATGTAGAAATAGCAGTGAAATGGAAGTGAAAAGCAGCGTATAGGCCGTTTTCAGACTCAGTTTTAAAGGTTTCTCAGCCGTTCTTGAGACTTAGGTAGGATGGTATGGGCTTCTAGCAGGGTTTGGGATTGAGGTTACAGGCAAAAAAGGGTTATGGGATACACAAGGTCAAGAAGAT